CTAACCTTCCTTTTGTCGTTTTGCTAGGACAACACTTTGTTTAATCATTAATGTTAACGGCATAATTTGAGAATATAATGAGTTATATTTGGTACAATAAAAAAGTGAGAGGATAAAAAGTTGGAGGAATAAAAAAAATATCATTTTTGATAAGGAAGGAAAATAGGAAGGATGAAAAAGTGAATGAATTAATTTTCTTTTAAACTTACCAAAATCACTCCCTCCAAAATCGAAAGGAAAGTGGATGGAAAGTTAATTATTTGTGTTGAGATGTATCTTATTTGTCTATATATCTTATGTATACATTAATTTCATATAAAAATACAATGGTAAAATATGTATATATATTTTAAAAAAATTTTAAAAAAATTAAAAATAAATAAAAATTTTAAATTAAAAAAAAAATATTTTTTCCATCTTAACTAAGGGTGAAAATTTTAAACTCAATACGATGACACGACTCGAACTCAATACGAAAATAAATAGGTCAATTCGTAACTCGACACGACAAAATTAGTTAAATGAGTTAAGTTAAGTTTGACTAATATTCGACACAAACTCGTAATGACTTAACACGAATTTGACACTACACGACTCGACTCAATTGTTACCTCTAATTTAGCCAGTACCAAAAAAAAAAAAAAAAATTTAAAAATAATTGTTTTTATTTTTCATCCATCTAATCAAATACAAAAGAAGGAAAATGTATCCTTCCTACTTTCCATCATTGAAGGATAAAAAGTGTATCCTTCCTATTTTTCATCATTCCTACTTTCTATCCTCTCTACCAAATGGAGCATAATAGAATGATAGTGAACCTAAACGGACAATGAGTTTATTTTGTTATTTAATAAGTCATGCCAGTTTTAGTATTCATTATACAAGATAAAATAAATCATGACATTTAATGTGCTACCTTGAGGTCAAAGATCAAAATTTTGTTTCGAAAGGTTTGAAATGTTTTCGTATTCAAAGAGACTGAATTAAATCATTGATGAAATCGAAATTCTAATATTTTGAGGTATTTTATAATCTTTTGATATCTTTTATATTATTTCAATATATTTACACAATTGTTTTAGAATATTTCAAGATATTTTGACTAATATTTTGAAAAAAAAAATTTGTACATTTTTAAAAATTTTTTGCATTTTTTTTTCTAAAACGGGTCAGAATATTTTTGACACACGTCAAAACGTTTTCGTGTTTTAGGTGATTGAAATAATACATCAAAACAAAATTTTAATCTTTACTTGAGTTGTTTATATCTATACTTCTTAGGATTGAATACTTCAAACATTTTAGATCATTTTGTGAATATACTCTCTGAAATATATTTTCTTGCCCAAATATTTTTGGAGAGAGACATAACCACCCAATTAGGAGTGTTAATCCTTGAAAGATGAGACTCAAGAAATTTCTACAGTAAAATAAGAAAAAAAAAATCAATTGAAGGGAGTTTTAGACATATTTAAGAGGCCTTCGCATGACACCTTCCCTTGTCCTCGAGACTTGTACCGTCAACTGTTTGTCCTTTGGTGTTCTTTCATCTATTATGTTTTTGCCACAAGGCAATAATCTGGAGAATTAATGACCAATTTATGATAGTTTTTAAATAAAATTATCAAATTATGATATTTTTGAGTTTAATTACTAGACTATGGTATTTTTTAACAAAAGGGAGTTAACAATCCCGCTTTAAAGATCAAACATGTTCGATGCTTTGGTCAAAAATTATTTTTGTGGGATTTGATCACACATTTATTTAAAAGCGGAGTCATTTGTAGTTTGGCAAATAAGTTTAAAAATATTATAATTTGATAATTTTGTTTCAAAATTATCGTAAATTGGTACTTAATTTCAATCTGAATGGTGATTTTTTTTTTTTTGTTGAGTTTTGATTAAATGGTGAAAATTGGGTGTTTGTAGGTACAAGGGGTGACGAGGTTTTGGAATCGAAGTAATCTTAAGGGGAAGGCTTGAAAAGTAGTGGAAATGGACCAGGAAGCATCAACAAGCAAATCAGAGAAAAGGTCTGTTGTATTGGTACAACTTGTATCGGTTCATCAGGCTATAAAAAGGTCTGAACCGGTACAACCTTGCTTGTACCGGTTCAATATTGAAGAATAAAGGTTGTTGTATCGGTTCATCGTAGCTTTGTACTGCTTCAAACATCAACATAGAGTTTTGTACTGGTTCTTCACACACAACTACAACGCACAAGTTTTGAGCTTTTATTCTGTTGCCGTGAAGACTTCTCCATCAACTTGTACACTTCTTTGGGTGGCTACCACTACCTAGGACCTTGCTTTTGATTGGTTGTTGGCACGTCCATAGCTTCACAAGTGCGCTCCGATTGGACGACACGGACAGGAGGAAACTTCTTTGGTAAATCACCACCCATCACCTCATACTTAGCCAATGAAGAGGAAGAAGGAAGAGATGCTATTATATATACATTGCTGTCCAAATTTGAAGGGAGGAGCCTGAGTTCTTGGTCAGTCTGTTTTTACATTTTGCTTAGAAAGTTATATTTTTATCGGGTTTTGGAGAAGACGAAGTGTGGATTTTCATTTCCATTTTTAAAGCTTAATTTTTATTTTTTGTTCTTGTATTTGACCTTATCATTTTGAAGCAAATCTTAGTGAAGCTATTCCTTTCAATCTCATTGCCTATTTTCCTGTGAAGTTGATGTTGATTTTTGCTGAATTCGATTTGATGAGTTTTTCTTCTAGCTAAGTTTCGGCATGATTAGAGGAAGGATTCTCACTAGTAATCAAGCAGTATCGATTCTTTAATGGATTATATTTGAGAGAATGCATTGTAGATTGGAAAAACCAATTTCGAAAACTTGTGGTGTGTGTTCACTTTGATTTCTCATCAATGCATCTTACAGCACGGATAATGTTTAGAGTTCATATCTACATCAAAGTATTTAAATTTTTAGTTGTTATTTTGTATTAACAAAGCTACTTATTGTTCAAATATGATTTTAATTGAATATTTTTCGTCCGAACAAGTTTGATTACAAGTTTAGATAAGTTATAAATGAAAATCGAATATCTTGATTACAGTGAGTTAATTTCTGAAGATTAGCCGATTGTTTTCCATTTGATTTCACTACATTAGTTGCGATTTTCACCAACTCTACAAACGCCAAGAATTTTCATTGAATTTGCAATAGGTCACCATTCAAGTTGTCTTGTTCCCTGAGGAGACGAGCTCAAATTTTCTGAGTTGCTACTCCACACACTCTTCCTACGCTTGGGAAATACATTAAAACCATCTTAGAAAGTCAAGCATCTTTGGACATCAAGAATGCCACACCTAGAATTTTAGATTTTTGAGAGAGTATGGTAACTTAGAGGAGTTGGATATTAAGATTCTAAAATTGAATAAAACTATTTGTTGGTTAAAGTGGGAGAATGAAAGTAGCAAAGTAGAAGGAAGAATGAAGTTACTTAAATTATTAGGGAACAAAAAAATCTTACCTTAGCTTGGTCGTTTCTCCATCCTATTCCCACATAATCAAAAACTACTAACAATAGGCTCGTGAATCATAATTTTTTTGCCCCACCTATAATCTAATAATCATGAGAGAGTATGGTAGGTTCACTCTAAGTGTTTGAGCTTATTCAAATAAATGACCTACTCATATTGACAAGTAATCTCTCTAAGGCTATGACAAATTAGCGAACCCACCTCTATAATGAGAGTTGAATTCAAAATGTCGAAGTTTCAAGACATCTCAAAAATAACTCAAGACCTTTGCGCTACCCGTTCAAGATATATAAGCTATCTATTGGATACATACGTCAATAGGTTATTTCTCACCCTCAATAACCTTTCTAATAAAGCTTTTGTGTCCCCAAAGGGGAATAATAGGAATGGTGAACATAAACCTACAAAATCCAATTATTGTAATGCCAAATACTATAAGACAAAACAACAACAAAAGATTGAAGAGAACATGAGTTGGACATATGCAGAGATGTAAGCTCAAAAAGGCAACCAACTCTACTCTCGGTTCCAATTAGTTGGCCCGTCTTTTGATCCTGCACATCATACCCTTTGTGAGAAAAGGTTAAGAGAAGACTACATTCAACAAGTTGACCAACGAATAAAAGACTTAGAGACAAGTTAGGAACAAGATACGTGTCAGGTACAAAAAGAGTAAAGGTAAAAAGAGAACAACATGAGTAATAAACATGTGTAAACCATTAATAGTATATATGAGAGACACAAAGTTTAAAGATGTATTATGAGACACGAGGGAAGAATCAGATGTCATATGGTTGCAATAGACTGAGGGAAGAAGAAGTTTACCTGAGAAGACTCATAAGGCAGTAGAAGTACGAGAGAGAATTTGGGTGACAATTGCCCCAAGGTCAGTTACAGTAAGAGAAGACAAAGGAGGTGAAGAGGGGGAGTCGAAAGCCGATGAGCTGGTAGAAGCAGCAGCAACAGGCTTGTGGAAGAGAAGAGCGATGGAGCAATGAGGCTATAATGGTTTCAAAATCATTTCGAATATGCATCATAAAATGAATAAACCGACAACAATCTCGATATTCTATAAAGAGCTTAATGGACTTACCATAAGGAAAACTTGGGTCCGCTTGAGAAACCTTATCTCAAACACTACTAAGCTAAGCGTGAAACTTAGCAATAACCTTGTTACGTTCCTAGCGCATCTGATGAAGCTTAGATTCTAGCTGAAACTGAAGAGCAGCATCATAGAATAATATCCGTTTGCCAAAAAAATTTCAGGCAAGCTTGGCATTCCGAAAATTAGGAAAAAGACTCTGAATAGAAGAAACAAATGTATTAATAAACCAGGAGAGAATCTTGCAATGAGTGCCTTCCTCAATTTTTGCGGGTTTCTATTTTGTGCCAGTTACAAAACGCCATAATCTTTGACCAAGCCGAAAAACCGACATTTGTTGGACCCAAGTATTTTATTTGGTGCCATCTAACACAATCTCTATATAGGGAAAGCAACATCATTTAGAGAAGCCATAGCAGAAAAGCGATAATGCTAACCGAATTAAAGAAAATAAAAGGCACGGCTGGAACGAGCATGAAAAACTAGTCAAGGCAAGTTGAAAATCTCGTCGTAGTTTCGTAGGAAAGGTCGCCTGAACTGAAACCAGTGGCCGAAAAGGTTGCCAAAAGATGGCAGCCAAAAAAGTGAACGGCGCTTGACGGGAAGGTCCCGGAGGATGGCTGAGAGGCAGTCGAAATATCGCTGAAGGATGGCTAAGAGGCAATCGAAATATCGCTGAAGGATGGCTAAGAGGCAATCGGATTATCGCCGGAGGATGGATGGGTGGCGATCGGAGGGCTGCTGAAAGGACACAAAGAGAGAATGGACAAGAGCTCAAGTGTTTTGATACGGAGGATAGATTCACAAACCCAGGCTCTGATGCCATGTAAAGAAAGGTAATAGAAAATGAATAAAAATTATATATTATTTTGGTGTGATTTACCATATACATGAAGAGATTTATTTATGGTACTAGAAAGTAGTGAAATTTCATAGTCTAATCTATATGAGACAAACATGTAAACATTAACAGAAAATATAAATGATATGATAGAATATAAACAACTTACTAATCATGTCAAATTTCCTTCCCTATCACAAAAGATTTATTCTACGCATAACATTACACAAAGTGAACATGACCCATTCAATGAATAAGTCGCGTTGGACGGGACTGGACTGGTTGAGTGGATTATATTCACGTGTTATTCTGGTGTTCCTGTATTAAATTAGTCAAACGGGTTAAGACTAGAAACCTTTTTTGTGTTGAGATCGAATTTAGTTTAATTGCCACCCTTACGCTTGTGGGTCGGCAGGAGAAATCAATCTTAAAGCATACATTGAAGACTATGGCGACGAGGGAAGCTGCCAAATTTGCTGAGTATTGGAAGGCGACTTTATGCAGGTTATGAAGTCCATCAAAGAATCTGAAGGTGAATTTTCTCCACTGGGATTTGTAATAGCAGATATAAATCGTGTTCGATTAATTTGAATTAGGCCCATCAATCATGTTAGGTAAGATGGGTTAGTATCGGGTATTAATGGATTTGTATAAAAAATATTTTATACACACCTGATTCGTTTATTAATTCGTATATGGCGAATTGTATCATATCAAGTTTGTATCGTATGTAATTCGTGTATTACAGGTATATAAATGACTCGCATCGTATATTTTTTTTTGAATTGTTTCACTCATATCCGATTCGTTTATTAATCGTATCATGTCGTATTGTGTCGGGTTCACTCATTTATTAAATGGTGGCTTAAGAAAAACTCAAACCTTTAACTTTCGTGTTTTATTAACGAGTTGTGTCATATTTTGACACCCCTTGTTAAAATATCGTTTGATAACTTTTTCATGAGTATATTATTATTTCTTTTTCTTACTTTTCAAATATTTGTAATGCCCCAACTCCTCTAGAGATTAGAAAAGACTTTGTTCATTGATAAAAAGATCAAAGAAGCTAGTTTGCCATGCTTGCGTCACAAATATATATAGTTCGAGTTTGAGATGAAATGCATCTATATGAAGGAAATACTTGAGTTAAAGGTTTTGAATTAATTTTGGATTTAATTTGAGCTTGAATTGGAGGTCTTATTATAAATTGAGTTTAGCCTAAGCTGACCACTCAACCTGCCAAATTGTTTGGGTTGTACGCTTATGCTCGATGTACTTTCAAGCTTGGGCTGAAATTTATAACAAGACCACTCCAATCAAGCTCTTAACGTTCATGGACATGGGTGGCTAAAGCTAAGGTACAACAGTCTAGCCCAGTTGAAATAGTTAAGTTTGGTTATCGGAGGCCTTTAAAATTTAAATTTTATACATGTCACTCATTTATTACTATACTAGAGAGAATTAAAAGAAAAAAAGTAATGAAGGGTATCTAAATCCGGACAAGCAGAGAACTCTGGCAATTATTAGTTATTGCTGAAAAGACGTGATAAGCTCAAACACTTGGAGATAGGGGACATAATTGGTTTATTATTGCATACAGAAAGAAACAGACAAGATTGACAAATGGTCAACTTAAATTAATCTACATTTCACTTTCTATTCTGTTGCATCGACAAAAAAAAAAAAAAAAAGAGGAGAGAAAGGGAATCGATAACTTAGGCAATATTTGGGGTGGGTTGCTTCTTATTTACTCTAACAAATCAATTTTATTTTTGTTTAGATATAAATATAAATAAAAAAAATGTTAATTGAGTCGTTGACCACATCAAAACAGGAGGGAGAAGTGGAACTAGTATTGAAATTTCTATTCATTCAACAATAAAAATTGTTGAACGAAATATAGCAACTCATAAGAGAATAAATCATCAAATCATATCTTTTTTACTTGTCAATGATAATATTAGATGATTGGGATAATTTGTGAAACGTGCTGTATTTGCGAAAATATGTTAATATTATGATTGTAATTATTGTTAAGTTTTCTGGTTCTAAATAAAATATGCATAAGTGGGACTATCTTATTGACAAAAAATAATAAGATGATTGAATTAATCCATTACGTTATAATTAAAGAGTAATGTTATTTAAATTTAAAATTTTGATTTAATTTAATAATTTAATGATTTGATTTTATTAGAACTATTGGATTATCATCAAGCACTAATCTTTGATGAGACTTACAATCAATCTATGAATTAGATCAATAAATAAGGTTCAAATAGTATTGCTCATAATTAAAGCAACGTAATTGGGTGGGTTGTCCACATTAAAAAACAAAAAGTTCGGTTGGTATGGTCTCCTACCGGTTGTTATCTATCTTGGAGGCATAAAAAAAATCGGAAACGGTTAGGTAATTGGGTGGATTTTTTTATAAACTAGCCGCCAAGGTTGAAAAACTAGTAACCGGTGTAGGTGGGATTTGTTAAAATAGTCCAATCCAGCCCTTCAACTTTTGTTCAGCTCTTATATTATATTTAGGATGATGTGATCCATCAAAAATGCATTTCATCCTCCAAGCCATGAACTGTTTTTCTTACATGATCTAGCTGTGTCGAGCTTCCACTGGGAGACTAGGCCAAGAACTCACTAACCAAGCCAAGGTCTTTGTTCCATGGCTGAACAAGCCTCCTCTTCTACGTCTGATTACTCTGATTCAAGTACTTATGATGTGTTCTTGAGTTTTAGAGGAGACACCCGAATGAAATTTACTGACCACCTCTACAAAGCTTTGGTGGATGAAGATTTTCGCACGTTTAGAGATAAAGAAGACGCAAGGAGTGGAAAAAGTATTAGTTTGGAATTGAGAAAAGCAATCCAACAGTCAAGAAATTCAATAATTGTCTTCTCAAAGGACTTTGCTTCTTCCACATGGTGCCTCGATGAAGTAATCCTGATACTCGATCGTATGAAGCAAACTAGAGGACATTTTGTTCTTCCTGTCTTCTACGATGTGTACCCAACCGAAGTTAGGAAGCAGACAAATAGTTTTGCAACATCATTTGAGAAGTACGAAAAGGAAATCAAGGAGGAAAGCCATCCCAAAAAGAAAGCGAAGTTGATGGACAAGGTCAAAAAATGGAGAAAAGCGCTTAAAGAAGTTACAGATCTCGGAGGGAAGGTCTTAAAAGATGAAGATGATGGGTAACTAACTGCCTACAAAATCTTTTCTTACACATCATTTTGCCTGTGTTTTGTATTTTGAAAATTTTGGAATGATTTGAAAGGCAAAAACATACAGTTATATTCTATGACTTCTACAAGTTAAAATTTTATATTTTGGATAGTTCTTCTTCTTTTACTAGGTGAAATCTTAGTTATTTTTTTGCTGCTTGTACAAATTACTGTAATTTATTTCTAGTTTTTTTCATGCATATTTTTATTAGTCATTCACTTCAATACAATCATGTGCAGGTATGAATCGAAGTTCATCGAGAATATTATTCAGGTTATGAGGGATAATGGGATTCGCAAAGTCTCCAATGTTGAACCCCCCCTTATTGGAATAAATTCTAGAGTTGCAGCAATTAATTCGTGGTTACAAAATGGGTCAATTGATGTGGGCATTATGGCAATCTGCGGGATGAGTGGAATAGGAAAAACAACAATTGCCGAATATGTTTTTGAATTGAATCGTCATAGATTTAGACGTTGCAGCTTTATTGAAAATATAAGAGAAAACTATAAAGAACCTGATGGTTTGATTCAATTACAAAGAAAACTTATTTCAGATATTGGAAAGGGAAAAGAGAGAAAAATAAAAACTGTTCGTGAAGGGATCAATGAGATAGGAAAGATCTTATCTGGTCTTACAACTTTCATTGTTTTAGATGATGTGGTCGACAAAGATCAACTTGATGCAATTCTTACAATGAAAGAGTGCTTTCATTGGGGATGTAAAATTATCATAGTAACCACGAACATGCAGTTGCTGAGACATTATAAAGTTGAGATTTATAATGTTAGGGAAATGAATGATGATGAAGCACTAGTACTCTTTAGTAGGCATGCTTTTGGGCAAGACCATCCCACTGAAGGTTATATGGAGTATTTCCAAACTGTTGTAAAGCATTGCGAAGGGCTCCCCTTGGCTCTTAAAGTCTTAGGTTCTTCTCTGCGTGGCCAAAGTGTGGATGTATGTCTAAGTGCACTAAAGGATTTTGAAGCAATTCCTAAGGGCAAAATTCAAAAAAAGGTTAAAGTAGGTTATGATTGTTTGGAAGATGACTATGACCGAGATTTGTTCCTTGATATTGCATGTTTCTTTGTTGGAATGGACAAAGATAAGGCAGTTGCAATACTTGATGAATGCAATTTCCGCACAATAGTTCGAATTCAAAATCTTGTGGATAGATGTCTCTTAACAATAAACCGATGGAACAAGTTGAACATGCATAAGTTGCTTCAGCAGATGGGAAGAGAAATTACTCACCAGCAGTCACCTGATGATCTTGGCAAGCGTAGTAGGTTGTGGCATTATGAGAATTCCTTTAGAGTATTGAAAGAAAAATTAGTAAGTAACATACCTCATGTGTGTGTGTGTTTGTGTGCTGGCATGCTTGTTAGTTGTTACCTATTTTTGGTTTTATCTTATTAGGGAACCAAAAGAGTCAAAGGCCTTTCTCTCAATATGAAGATGCTTGAGAAAGATGAGCATGCCATGAAATCCTTGAATATTAAAAATTCAAATGAGGCCACCTTGGAAACTAATGCATTCACAAGTATGCGCCAGTTAAGACTACTACAGATCAACTATGTACGGCTTATTGGAGGCTACAAAGAGTTTCCTAAGAACATAAGATGGTTGTGTTGGCATGGATTTCCGGTGACATGTTTGCCAAGTGATTTTCCTATGGAGAACTTGGTTGCTATTGACATGCATAATAGCAGCTTAGAACAAGTGTGGAAGGGAGCCAAGGTATGATTCTAATCCACGGTTGTCCTCTTTTTACATCTTCTTTTTTTGGGTTTTTATTGTTTTCATGTATCTAATGTTAACTTCCCTATTTTCTTTTTTTTTTTTGACAGTCTCTTTGGTTTTTGAAATTCCTCGACCTCAAAGACTGCCATGCCCTTACGAAAACCCCTGACTTCTCAAGCGTTCCCAATCTTTTGAGCT